CAATGTGCATCTATTTAGCTATAAATATTTCTAGTTTGTCTTTCTTTATGGCTGAGCAGTACTCCATTTTATTTAAAAAAACACATTTTCTTTATCCAATTTCCAGTTAATGGGGAATTGGGCTGTTTCCAAGTTTTAGCTATTACAAACTGTGCTGCTGTGGACATGGGTGCACATATATCACTGTAATATGATTCTTTTAATTCTTTTGGGGAGATACCCAGCAAGGAAATAGCCGAGTCAAATGGGACCTCTGATCCTAGTTCTTTGAGGTATCTCCATACTGACTTACACAGTGGTTGCACCAGTCTGCACTCCCACCAGCAGTGGAGAAGGGTTCCTTTCTCCCCACACCCCCACCAGCATTTGTTATTGGTTGATTTCTTGATAGCAGCCATTTTTTCTGGGGTGAGGTGGAATCTCAGTGTTGTTTTCATTTGCATCTCTCGCATGACCAGTGATGTTGAACATTTTTTCATATGTTTGTTTGCTGTTTCTAGTTCTTTGTCTAAGAAATGTCTGTTCATTTCAGATGCCCATTTTTAGATTGGGTCTTTAAATTTAGGAGGTCTGATTTTTTTAAGTTCTTTGTGGCCTGAGCTTGCTTTAGTTTCTCGAGTCTTCCTTCACCTCTTTTGTCCATTTTAGCTTAATTGAATGTTTTTAGTATTCTATTTATATTTCTCTGTTGGATATGTGTGTAGTTTAAAGAAATGAAATAAATAGGATTTAAAAACTATTTATACATTTCTTACTTTTGTTCCTTTTTCTTGAAAATCTGGGTCTTTACTTGAAGTCATTTCCCCTGAGCCTGAAGCAAATTGAACATTTGAGTAGGTAGTGTATGTCTTCTGGGATTAGTTCTCATGTTATTTATCTGAAAATCTCTTTATTTCACTTGTATTCTTCAAGGCTATTTTTATGGGCTATTGAATTTTGGGTTGATTCTTAGCACTTTAATTATTTTGATCTACTGTCCTCTGCCTTGATTATTTGTAGTGAGAAATCAGTGGTATTTTAACTGTTGTTCCCTTATATATAATGTGTCATTTCTCTCTCTTTAAGCCTCTCTTCCCCTTTATCTTTGAGTTTTTAGCAATTTGATTTTGATATCTTTAAGTTATCTTTCTAGGGCTTTTCAAGGCATTCTGAATCTGTATGTTTGGATATCAACAAATCAGACATCTTTTCAGTCAGTATTTCTTCAGATAGTTTTTCTTTCCCAGTCTCCTTTTTCTGGCATAAAGTTACAAGCATATTAGGCTTTTTAATATGCCTCAATGACTGTGCTACTATATTCATTTTTAAAATCTTTTTCTTCATCTTCAAGTTAATGGACACTATTCTGTTATTGTCTATCTGATCTTAAGGTCACATGATGAATTTATTTCAGATACTGTATCATATCAGATTAAGAGTTTCCATTTAGTTTTTTTTTTCCTTAGGTATATTTTCTTTTTCTCTGCTAAGATTTCTTATTTATGTTTTAGGATCATGTTTTCCTTTAAGTCTTTGAGATGTTATAAAGCTGGTTTAAAATTTTGATCTCTTAATTCTAATATTAGGTCCTTTCAGAGTTGGTCTTTACTTACTGCATACTTCCTTGGGTATGGATCTTATGTTTTTATTTTTTTATATGCCTAGAAATTGGGATTGTTAGCTTCAGTTTTATTAATGATACATTGTGGAGGTGCCGGATTCTATTCTTTTCGTCTAAGGATTTGGGTTGCTTTTTCTTTCTTTTTGTTTTTTTGGTCTGTCTGTTTTGGTGGTGGTACTGGGGATTGAGACCACAGCCTTGTGCATGCTAGCCAAGTGGCATGTCCCTGAGTTTCCTAGTCTTGGTCTTGAAATTTTTTGTCAGCCTTCTGAGCAGTGAGTTATAGGTGTTTGTCACCACACCAAGTTGATTTTGTTTCAGCTATAGTTAGTTAACTTGGATGAGTTCTTTTCTCATTTCTTTTAGCTTAGCTTAAAATATGTACACCATCGTGATATTTTAGGGGTCACAAAGAAATAGTATATAGCTTTGAAGGCCCTCTCTATGAAGTACTGTTTTTTCTGAGATTTCAATTCCCCTCACATTTTAGTTGCAGTGGTCACTCTACTCTCAAAATTCTGGTTTTGCATGTGTAGGAGTCTTAATTTTCTTAGGCATGCTAAAACTTCATATATATATATATATGTACTCTGAAAGGAAATCAAATTTATAAAAGTAGCAAACTCTCTCTGTATCAGGGATCATCAAGTCCACTTCCATCTTTGATGACTTTTTAGGACTCCTGGGACTCAGCCTAAGTGTCATCCTCCTCAAGGATGTGATTTCTTACAGGGAAAGGACACAGCATAGTCCACCGAAGGAGAATGTGCATGAGGAGAAGTTCAGAGGAAAGTAGGCACACATTTCCAAGGGTCCTCCTCCAGAGCAGTCACTGGGGATACTTAATTCACAGTTTACTTAGAGTGACAAATTTGCGAAATGTTATCTGTCATGGAGCTCTACAAAGAATTACTCCCTAGGAGATACCTCAAAGAACTAGGACTAGAGGTCCCATTTGACCCAGCTATTCCTCTACTGGGGATCTTCCCCAAAGAATTAAAAGAATCATACCACAGCGATATATGTGCATCTGTGTTTAAAGCGGCACAATTTGTAATAGCTAAGGTTTGGAAACAGCCCAAGTGCCCATCAACTGGAGACTGGATAAAGAAAATGTGTTTTTTTTTATAAAATGGAGTACTACTCAGTCATAAAGAATGAGAAACTAGAGTCATTTATAGCTAAATGGATGCATATTGAGGCCATACTCTCAAATGAAATAAATAGGACACACATATGTAAATACCGAATAGTATCTCTAGTGTGAGAAACTGAAAGTGTAAAGAAGGATGAAAATGATTAAAATGAATAATTGATAATTTGAAATAGGAAAAGGTCCAAAGGTGGAGGGGTGGTGGGAGGGGAAGGGGAAAGGGAAGAAAGGAAAGGAAAAATTATGAGAAAGAAAAAAAATGGAAACAAAGTCTGTGTAAATAGGGAAGGGTTGTGGGGGTGAAGGGTGCATAGGTAATGGGGAAAAAAATAACTAAGATACATCATGTTCAGGTACAAACACCCAATGATAAATGTAAATGTATTGTATACCTAAAATGTACCAATTAATATATTTAAAAAAAGAATTACTCCCTAGGGTTGTTATTGAGATCTGGTCATATAGGCACTCTTTACCTGGCACATAGCAAGATTCCACAATCCCAGAAGGAAAGTAGGTGTTCAGGATAATTTGAAGTGCTTATGTAAACAGTTTAGGTACAGCAATCCTTTCTTATCTAAGAATGGTGAGAATCTTCTGGAGCCCTTCTTTCCAGACCCCAGCCTTGGGTTCAGGCCATTCTGAGGATCAGGGCACTCAGGAAGGCGTTGTGGACTCTGTCCTGCACAGCGCATGTACCTGACCAGTGCATTGGTACAGCAAGATACAATGAGGACCTGACAACTGCAGTAGTAATCTCAGGTGTGCTCTTTAGCCAGTTGAAACAATGCTGATTCACCACAGAATTTCTCTTATAAACCCTGCTCTGTTGTGTGGACATAGCCTCGGCAGCCTGTTTGAACTTCCATGGCTTATAGAAGCTTGCCAAGGCAGAACCGAGTCTTCCCTTAGAAAGAGTGAAAACATCCAGATGATCTTGAAAGCAAAGATCATTTGATCCCTCACTTCCAATCCACTGCTTCTTCACTCCTTGGTGTTTGGGTTGTGTTGTTGTTACAAAATTTGGGTGTTCCATTTGGCAGACCTTTTATGACTCCTCCTCTTCTCTAGTCCTCTTACCTGACATTGTATGCAGAGGGCTCAAAAGCGTTTTTATAGGAAATACTTTTATACAACTTAAGCAGAAAGACAATCATGTTTAAGAATCAGTCAAGGGGAAATTCTGAATTTTCAAACATACTCAAAATGACTGTGCCTAATCCCTACCCCTTTTGTCCTCATTATTGGGAATGGCCTGGGAAGAGGTCATTCACTTTGATCTACAGCACTCAACACTCAGCACTCAAATTGCCTGAGGTGTGTGTACCACGCTAAAGTTCAGTGAAATAGAGTCAGATTCTTGCTCCATTGCTGCAAGCTGCAGCTGTTCCAACCACAGCAAACTAACAGCAGTGAGATGCTCCAGGGGATGGGATGTGGGCAACAAGCATCCCTTTCTTTATTTGAGGGCGTGGAGGGCTCACCATCCTTGCTCTGTGCCTCCCCAGCTTCTGGCTCTCGCTGGGGATCATAGGTTGGGAGTGCAGGTAACCTTCACATCAGGAACATAATACAGCCACAGCTCAAGCTCATATGGATGTCCCCTCAGAGAATAAGCTCCAGCATCATCAGGGCTGATTTTGTGTTTTTGACACCACAGAGGGTTCTGAAGTCTGCCCTACGCAGGTCTGAGGGCTGTCTGTGAGTGTCTGTTCTTCATGGTTTGTCGTGGACAAGGTCTTTTATAGAATCAGGCTCAGCATATAGAGTACTGAGAGCCTAGGATTCCACTTGGTACTTTGATACTCATGGAACTTCAGGGTCCACCCTTAAAATTGGAATTGTGTGCAAAGCCTCAGGCAACATGTGTTCTTCTAGCATCTCCCATGTGCTTTTTTAAAAATTTATTTATTTATTTATTTTGGCACCAGGGATGTAACTCAGGACCTTGCGCTTGTGAGGCAGGCATGGTGCCGCTGAGCTAAATCCCCAGCCCTCCCCTGTGCTTTTGATGCACACTGGTCCTTAGGCAAAGCTGAGGGAAATTGCCTCACTTCTATTGAGTTTAAAAATTGCTTCCTTAGTTATCTTCATCCTAATTCATGGTGCTGGGACATAAAATCTCCGACAATCAGTGACCACTTCTGGTACTTAACATATGAAAAATTTTAATTAGCAATTGAAAAATTTCTGAGTAATTTTATTTAAGTATAACATTGACATTAATTTAAATGTTCTATATTCCAGGACCTTTTTTCTATCAGTGCTTATGTTTATGCTCAGAAGCCACAATTGGATATTCATAGTTTTGAAGGAACATTTACCAGGGTAAGTTAAATCTTTTGTTCACTATGAATAAATTCATTGCATATATAAGTTAAAGGTAGTAGACCCTTGCTTTGAGATATTAATGTGTAATCAGAATAAATTCACATAGAAGCTCTGAACTAGAAAGCGAGAAACTGGAGAATGTGCCAGATCTTAAATGTACCCACATCACATATTATCTCTGTAGATATGCATAGTACAGGCTTTCTAAATGTTTTTAGCATAGTTACCAATGATAAGATCTGTCTCCCCTAAAATATAAGTCAATTGATGCACCTTAACTATTTTGGTTTTGACTTTGGATAATAATAGATCCACTATGATATCCATATCATTTCTAGTTTTTTATTAAAATGTGTATATGTATGTATATATCTAACTTTTTCTTTTGCAGGCTTTCACAGTTTTACATCCCTAGCCCGTATTTTATTTTTAATTTTGATACAGGGTCTCTTTAAGTTCCCTAGGTGGGGCTCAAATTTGCAAGCCTTCTCTCTCAGCCTCCCAGAATGCTGGGATTATAGGCATGTGCCACAGTGCTAAGCCAGTATATGTACGTTTGCTTGTGTACATATGTTTATTTTATTCCTCATGTTCTTCATTGTTATAAGAGCCTAGGTAAAGTTTGAAGCCCCTGTCTCCTTCACTGCCAGGATCAGAGAGACTTAATATTTCTTATTGTAACAACTTACAATTGATACCATAAATCAGTGGTGGTGAACCTATGGCACTCGTGCTGCGGTGGGCTATTTGTATCATTCAAAGCTCTAAAAGGTTCACCATCACTGCCATAAATACTTTATAATAGGAGCTTTTAAATATATGACTATAGTTTGTTGTTAAATGCCAAAAATGTTTTTTTAAATGATTTCTCTTGGTATAGTCTCTTTTGTTGCACTCATGGTCTCACAGAAGATTTGGTGAGCAATTGTTACTGTCTGAATTTACAGAGTTTACATTATATGACAGTTAATATGCAAACTATAGTGATGCAAAAGGAGGATACCTGTGAGGTCACGGAGTCCACAGGGAGATGGACATCATTTTGTTCTCATATGGACTGCAGACCAGCAGGCACAAGGTGTGCATAGACACACAGAGGATGAAGGATGTCCTTGTGATAAGGATCATGGAATGAGTTCTGAAATACACTAAAATCTTTGTGTTCTTACAAAAATTTATTGCAAGAAAAGTGCATTCTTTTTTTTAAAATTAATTTTATTGGTACATTTTAGGTATACAGTATAATGACATTGATCATTGGCAATTTGCACCTTTACATACTCTCTTGATTCTTATTTTTTCCCCATTCCCCTGCCCTCCCTTCAACCCCTCC